GGCGATAATCTATGCAGACTAGAAACAAAGGAACAGAAGGAGGCAGACAGTCACTTTCTCTTAGATTGTGGATATTTATCCCTCTCTTTCACAGCAGCAACTTTAATAAACAAGTATGACGCCTGCAGCATCTAATCTAGAAAATACCGCCACGCAGGCAGGCGCACGCACGCCCATTACAAAGTGACCTTCACGGAGCATGGCAAACACAGTCAGTTTTCGGGACACAGGCTTTTAAAGTCTAAGTTAGCTGCTCCCCCTCCCCCAGCTCCTATAGACCAAAAATACCTCTATCCTCAACTACATAAACGTTGTGAGTAGCAAACTTGTAAAAATGAAGAGTACAAAAAGGAACGTCCATAGAACATATTTGCACCCTGTATACAATGTGTCACCCTTTAAACTGGCCGATGGTCAGCTATGGCCGATTGTCAACAATAGAAAAAGACCCCAACATCTGTCACGTGCACTTGAGTCGGTGGTTTGTGAGGTTCTCCAGAGAGGTTTTCATCTCCAGGGAGTGCTTGCCGACGGTCTCCGTGTTAATGGTTAGTTTGTGGTACATTACTTGCGGATGGTCTTTATGGTTAAGAAGCCAGTTGAATTTCCTGGCATTTAGAAAACAAGTAACATTTGATTGTCACAACATACAGCTCCGAGACAATAAATACAAGCAGATCCGATGCATTACTTCATTGTTATCAAGTAACTCCAGTTTAATTTAATACAATTTAGTGCATTTCAGTATCTCATTCACAGTTTTGACTTCTGTCCAAGTGCTTATGCAACAAAAAGGTTAAGAAAGGAAAGTTTACGAGAAAAGGAAATTCCAGGTGAACTTGCCATTACAAAGCTTAAAAATTTAAAGCGATCCAATTGTCTCTGAAAAAGAATGCCTGGCTGCCACTGAGGCCGACTGGTGTCAGCGTCTCTGGGAATTTCCCGGACTCCCTGAAAGTGGTCTTGTCCTTTAATTCCCCGAGTGGTGTGTGAGAAGGCCACCGTTTTCACTGAATCAGCTAGCGGGCAAATGCTTGTGCTGCCACGTAACTCACGTGTGTCCACCCCTCGATCACACAGAACACAATGTGACATCTACCCAAGAGCTGTCCCTGTGTTTTTGTGTCCTGGCCCTGATAGGCAAGAATGTGAAACCCGAATGTCTGCATGCACCTGGCCTGGCCCAGTGCAAGTGGGTGGTATGGCCAGGAGTGGGGAAGGGGGAAGGGAGGCGCACCCAGCACCCAGGCCTGGGCGTTCGGAGAGGCTGGCCCTTGCTTTGGGAGCTAACTCACTATACAAAGGGGCAGGCACGTGGGCCAGGGACGTGCTGCCTCCAGAGAGAAGGCAGGCGGGCACGGCAGGCCCACTGTTTCAACCCTCAGCCTCGGTAGACGGCAGGAGGGCTGGAAGCCACGTCACACCATTGGACGCTAAGTGTTGCATGCTGGGGGAAGCATGCACTACTGGTGAGAAGTTTGCAGCAGGAGCTCACGCTCAGGGTTGAACAATTCAGCTGAATATCAGCCGGGCTGAAGAGATTCTATTTGGCTTATCCTATAGGTGTCTCGGGCAGAGACAAAGCGACATGCAGAGTGACTCCTCCACCCCAAACCTGACACAACCGTAGTCACGTGGGTGTGGGACGGCCTCCAGACAGCCCTGCACTGCACGTGACTGCAGCCACCGCTTTCCTTCAGACCAAATCATGCTCCATCATTTAGTGTAAGGAGGTCCTCCTGCCTCCGCACACCAGGGACCGGGACAGACAAGGTAGAGTCAGACTTGATCAGTGACCGCACCTGCACTGTTTCTGTACAAAAAAGTGCAGTGTCCGCTGTTGCTTCGTGATGGCTTAGTGGTTTCTACATTCAGAGCTCATCACACGGATCCTGTGCTTCTTGAGGACGGGGCCCCTCCAATGGGCTGTCACCAAGCAGGGGACGGCCTGTCCCTCTGCTTTCTCTGGCGGAAATGCTTGTCAATGGGTAGCTATGTCAAACCCTCCACCAGGTTTGGAGAAAAGGGGGGCATATGAAAAACGAGCATTCAAAATCGATGCCCTGCTCTCCCTCTGACCAGCCGTGCTGCTCCCCACTGTCACTGCTCACGGTGCTGTCACAAGGACCCCAGAGAGGGAAGCCAGAGAGGCCCCCGGCAGCTGCTACAAAGTCACCATGGAAATATCACAGTCACCCAGAGGGGCCCAAAGAACTGCGGCCTCCCCCAGCTAGACACCTGGGGAAGGCCCACAGGCCAAACTCCACGGACTGGGCAGGGGCAGGAGACGGAGGGGGAAGATGACACCGGACTTGGAGACTCGCACCTGAGAGTGGGGCCTTGGCCTGAGCTGAGAAACACGCAGCCAGCGACCCCCCAGCAGGAGCAGGGGGCTGGTTCCCAGGCACAGAGCAAGTGGCAGAGCCAACCCCAGAGAGAGTCAGCAAACACTTCCCCCAGCAGGGAGAGGCAGCAAACACCTCCGGGCCTCGACTGGCCCAGGACCCGCCCTTTACGCCTAGAGAGCACAACCGACTGCAACCAGCATGGCCTGTCCCACGCTCAGCCTGAATGTGATGGCAGCATCAGCAACAGATGGAACTCAGTAGTGGGTGTAAAGGCAAAGAATAAAGAAAAGCACAATTCTGCAATTTATTAATTTAAGGTAAAAATTTAAAAGAGCTCCCCTCCCCCTTTCCTTATGAAGTGAATGAAAAGCAAAATCCACTCTCTCTCTCTCTCAAAAAAAAAAAAAAAAAAAAAAAGTCTGCACATTCCTGGTGTAGTTTTTATTGCTCCCAAAGGGCTCAGTGTTCAATGCAAGAGCTGATCCATGTTAAATCGGAAGGAATCACTGAGACTGGAAACCCACACCCCGGTCTCAGGCTCCATTCACAGGAGTCTGCACAGCTCATTCATTGACTCGATGGAGAATTCGCAGCACATGATGAGTTGATTTCAGGGGGAGGGGACTTATCTGGGAAACCAGGACTATTAACTAAGTGGGAGAAGATCTAAATCTGCATCTTCCCGGTGGGGCTCCGTCCAGGAGGACCCTCCCTCTGGTTTCCTTTAAGCTGATCTAGGCATTCGTGACTCAGCAACTGACACAGGTGAACACGCATGAAGACAGATGAGCAGCACGGTATGAAGACAAATCAACTCGACGGTGGCCGCTCACCCTGAGGGAGTGGGGGGGGGTGTGCTTCAGGACAGAGGCAAGCAGGCTTAGTTCTGAACAAAAGCATTTTGAACTGTTTTGTTTTAACCCTTCAGCCCCACAAGGAGTTGCATCCACGCGCCCTGGGACACGAGCAGCACAGAACTGGGGCGCAGTCCTCGGCACCTGCCGTCACGCCACCAACCTGGCCCTGGGACACGAGCAGCACAGAACTGGGGCGCAGTCACGCCACCAACCTAAACCTCAGGAGCATCGCTGTTACGCGCCTTCGCGCCAGCCTGACAAAGCTTCCCCAAACACACTTAGGGCCAGTACATTATTGTTCTTTCAACTTAGTTTCTAATTGCTTTTATGTCTCTTTCCTCCATTTTTCTAGAAAATCCAACCTGCCTCTATTCGGAATGCTGGTTACAGTGTGTCAGAGATAATACCCATTAGTTTTCTTTCCCTTGCTAAAAAAAGAGGCGGGAAATGTGACTTTAAAAAAACCAACTTGAAGGTTTAAGAAGAAAGTCCAGTGCAGCCGTGTGCGGTGGGATGGCGGAGCGGAGCCACGGGAGGCAGGAGGAGCCCTGGTTCCCACTCTGTCTGCCCAGCAGCCTCCAGCCAGCCAGGCTCCATCTGCGGGACCAACCTCCCTCCAGGGCCAAGCCTGCAAAGGATGCTGAGAGGACATGAGTCAAGCACAGGCTGTCGGGACCTGGGGAGACACTCCACCGGGCACCCGGGGGTGTGGGCACCACCAGGCCAGGAGGCCACCCACCTGGTCAGAAGCAGGCCTCGGCCGGACACGTGTGCCTGCTCAGGGCAGGGAGGGTGGCAGGACGGGGGAAGGCTCGCCACAGCTCATTTTCATCAGGGACTTGAGAGCCACCAACAGATCAACTGTGAAAATAGCATCTCTAGAGGCCAACAGCCCTGTGTTAACAGTCTCCAACCATCTCAGAAGACAGGCTGGGTGGTGACACTGCTTCTTAAGAAGCATTACAGGTTCTGGGGCTGCGGGGAGAGGCACTGGCCCAGTGAGGCCCCTCCCAGCACCCAATGGAGGGACTGCAGTCAGGGCCACAGGGAGGAGGGGCTGAGGAGCTACATTCACCGCACCCTCGAGCACTCACACCCAGGCTTAGGGAGGACACGGCACAGCCTCTGCCTGCTGCCAGCTGCCAGCCCTGCACGGGCTCCATCCATCCGACACCCAGGGTGTGCTTCTCACCCAGAGCATTCTCTCCACAGTGCCCCACCCCCACCCGCTCCCCACCCTACTGTCCGGAAGCCAAGATGCTGGTTGCCTTGGGGACCAGAGATGCGGTGACATCTGCACCCAGGAGGCCTGGGGAAGAGTCCTGAAGAGAGTTTGCTGGGGGTGCAGGGGAGCGGCGAGGGGCCAGGGTGAGTTCTCGAAATCACAGGTAAAAACAAAAAAGGGACCCAAGTTTAAGAAGAGAAAGCATCAGAGGCTCTCTCTGGCCAGCAGAGTCCTTGAGCGATGGCGCTGGGTGAATCCCGGACCCCAGGGGCCACCGCCCAGAGCAGACGCTGCCCTCCGCGCCCCGGTCTCCCACAGCGACAGGCGGCCCTGCGGTGCGCTGCGAAGTCTCCATCCGGCAGGCTTTCTGATTTCTTTACTCTTGGCTCAAGTTTATTGGTTAATATTAGTCACCAGTTAATAAGAAAATAGTTTCTAAGTGTCTTTTTTTCCTCTGTGTGTGTGGTTCTGTTTTTAATTGAGTTAATCGGACACCACCATCAAATTAAGTGTGTTCAATCACAGCCATTAATTATTCCTTTTTCTTAAATTCTTGGTTCCCGTAGCTGGAGCCTTTTTCTATTTCAGTTACTCCTATTAGTCGGCGGACTCCAAAGGAAGCTTTAAAACAGGAGAAAGGTGGGTTAGATGGATCAACTGGGAAAATCATTATTGGGAGGCCCCTGGGGTGGCAGGCAGGCACTCCCACCATCCCTCTGCCCCGCCCACGCCCAGTCCCCAGGAGCAGATGACTCCCGCAGCAGAGTGGCTGGAGCCCGCGCTGAGGCCCGAGGCCTTGCTTGGATCCCGTCTCCTTGATGCCTCCCAGGCACTGCGATGGCCTGCAGGCCTGGGCACCTCCACGGGGGACATGACAGGCCTGGGCCTGAGTGGTGGGAGCCTTCACATTCCTTACCTGCCCCGACAAAGCCCAGGAACGTGAGGATCAGGAGGGGAGAGCCGCTTGCAAAGACGCCCAAGACAAAGCGGAACAGAGGAGACAGGAGAACCGTGGCCCAGAAGAGGAAATTCAGGAGCGTCCACGGCCGGCGGGCAGGTCTGAAGGGCTCCCCTGGAAACACGCCCTTCTGGTTGTACGTCTCCTGCAGAGCATCCTGCCAGAGTCCACAGGAAAAGCGGTGTCATCACATGCTGTGCTCTTACCCCAGAGAACGTGGTGACCGAAACATGGCTCCACCTGTAATGTGCCCCAGGGACTAGACCAGCTGTGGGCAAACTACGGCCCGCGGGCCGGATCCGGCCCGTTTGAAATGAATAAAACTAAAAAAAAAAGACCGTACCCTTTTATGTAATGATGTTTACTTTGAATTTATATTAGTTCACACAAACACTCCATCCATGCTTTTGTTCCGGCCCTCCGGTCCAGTTTAAGAACCCATTGTGGCCCTCGAGTCAAAAAGTTTGCCCACCCCTGGACTAGACCAATCGTGCGCTGTGGGCGGGAGACGAAGGGGCATGACCTTCACACAGAACTTGGCTGCCTGCACCAAAATCTTGTAAAAACACAAACCCGGAGCGGCTCAGTGGCTGAGCATCGATTTATGAAACCAGGAGGTCATGGTTTGATTCCCGGGCAGGGCACATGCCCAGGTTGCAGCTCAGTACCCAGTAGGGGGCATGCAGGAGGCAGCCAATCAGTGAGTCTTTCTCATCATTGATGTTTCTCTCTCCCTCTCTCTCTCTGAAATCAATAAAAATATATCAAAGATATCACTGTAGTTCAGCAGGTCCTCAAATAACATCATTTTGTTCAACATGCCCCTGACCGGAATCGAACCTGGGACCCTTCAGTCCGCAGGCTGACGCTCTATCCACTGAGCTTCCTCTCTGAAATCAATAAAATTATATTAAAAAACAAAACCAAACCACAAACCCTGTGACCTGACACATTTCCTAGGAAAAGAATGAGTCTGTGCCTGGCCCAGGACGGACACTGTGACCCCAGGACTGGCAGTGTGAGCCGGGACCCTCATCATCTCCCGCTGTCTCAGGGGCACGGGGGGCAGTGGGCAGAGCACAAGTCCGAGCATCACCCCTGCCCGCTCTCACCCCTGGAAAGTTACTTCACCTCTCCTACTCCACTTCCTATAGGCTAATGACAGGAGCGAGCAGCCCGTGAAGACACGGGAGGTGACACTCGGCGGGATCGTCAGCAGCGGCACGGTGGGGAACGTGTTGTGAACACTGAGCAGGGCTGGCCGGCATAGGGGCAACAAAGGAGCAGACTTCTCCGCAGCCACCACTCAGACGTGTTAACAAGGGGTGCACTGTGACATTTAAAGTACCAGGTTATTCCATTTAAACAAAAAGTATGCAGGACTGGCTATGTGGGTAGGACCACGCTTAGAAGGATGCACCCCACGTGATTGTGGAGGAGTGCAATGTCGTCTGTCTGTTTTTATTTTTTCCATTTTATTTCCCACATTCCATTTTCTACAGTTATTAAGAAAAAAAAAGAAAAGAAAAATATTTTCTACAGTTACGTTTTGTGTTATATAAAAATGGGGGGAGGATCTTAACAAACACCTCATCTCACGGCCTTGTCTAACCTGTGGACAGGGGACAGTCACCCTGCTGCTCGAGGCCGAGTGTGGCCCGGAGCACCCATGACCTTTATGCCCCACATACACCTCGGGGTGACCGGAAGGCCCAGCCCTTCACAGCCCTCAGCACGTTTCTGCCATTTTCAAGCTCATTTGGCCGCCCCCACTCTGCTACCCGACCCTAAGCGGACGGGACCTGCCTCCCTCTCTCGCCCAGCGCTGCCCGGGGTCCCACAGAGGGTTTACAGTAGGTGGTGTTAACGATGAACCAAGGCCGAGGCCACACTGCAAAGCTGGAAGGCAGGCCCTGTCCACGCCTCCCTTTCTGAATTAGGACCACGTTTTATATTGCGATCCAGTGTCTACGTACGCAACCCGTCTCAGGAGGAAACAAAGCTCACCCAGGCCACAGGGAGCATCTGTTCATGTTTCCACTCTAGTCTGTTTCACGTGCACCTGCCCCACTGGGGACAGCAAAGTGGGAACAAACTAATGTTCACAGATAGGGACAGGGTATCAGCAGATGGCGGAACACCATGCGGCATCTAAAAGGGGTGAATTTGACCCATTTATGTCACTGTCAACAGATAGAAAAAAACATTGATGGCTTAAAAAAAAAAAAAAAAAGAAAAATACAGAAGAACACCACAGTATATAAAAGTATATTATTAGGAAATAGATACATTGCATTTGTGTATTCATTTGCTCAGGTCACTTCTCATTTCCTGCTGAACAAACACTGTTGCTTGCACCTGTCACTTTGTCTACACAGAGTTTCAACATTTTAAAACCTGACGGAGATTCAGAGACACACTCTCCTTCGCCGCCTGGTGCATCCAAGGTCCACCCGCCTATCTGCCTGTGTTTCTGTTTCTTTTTCTTCTGGAAAGAGTTACATTGTTCTGCAAAATTATGTTTCATCTAAGTTTTCAAATGTGTGAGCATAAAGCTGGTCACAGTGCTCTCATTATTTTCACTCTCTGCTCTTTGGCTGGGTCATCTTTTTTATTCCTATTACTGTCATCACTCTTTTTTAATTGGTCAGTCTTGCCCAAGGCCTTCTATTTTATAATAGTTTTAAAGGAAAAGCTTTTGGTGCCGTTGATTCACTCTTTTGTAGCTTTGCTTCCTGTTTAAATAATTTATGCTATCTTTATTTGTTCTCCTCTGGGTTTACTGTTTTTTGTATACATGTGTGTGCATGTATAATGTGTGTGTATGGTTATTAAGAGGATAAAACGTGTAATACTTTAAAAGATTCTGATACGCAGTAAGAGATATGTCCTCTGCTAACCTCATCGTCATTCCTTTGTGGGCAGTATGTCTTTTCTCTCTCTCTCTTTTTTTTTTATACTGTACAGCCCCCTTCAGTGCTCACAGCCCAAGGGTAAGAAGGCTGGGCAATGGTTTGAGGCTGCAACTTCCTCTGGCATGGGTCCACTATTGTCTTTTCTCTCTGGTGATTCTAAGATCTCTTTTTGTCTTTAGTGTTTTGGAATTTCATTGCCAAGCAGGGATGAATTTCTTTTTATTTTTATCGTATCCCAGACTATACTTCTTGAACATGATGAAATCTATGTCCATCAATTCTAGGAGTTTTATGGTTATTAGCTGTGACAACTGCTCTTCACCATCCCCTCTACTTTCTCTCTCTGGACCTTCTGATAGTTGCCTACTGGACCTCTCAGTCTATTCTCCGTATCTTTTAGCCTTTTCATAAGTTACACTTCCTCTGGGCTGCATTCTGAGTAATTTCTTCTAAATCCTTCTTACTCATTTTCTCTTTAGCTGTATCTCATCTGATATTTAATCTGTTAAGGTTTTACTATCAATGATGAGATTTCTCATGCCTGTAAATTCTACTTGGTTTTTCCCAAATATGACTCATTTTTCCCATAGGTCTTGCTCTTTTCTTTTCAGTTCCTTCTTTTGTGCTTAATCATTTCAAAAATACTGATTTTAGTCTCTGATAGTTCCATTAGCTGAGGTTTTTGGAGGATTTTGTTTTTCTGTCTGTCTTGCCCATGATGGATTTTGGCTCTGAGCTCATCTCCAGCAGAATTTTACCTGAGAAAATCGTGGACAGCTTAGGATTGGAGTCATGTTCTTCCAGTTTTGCACATGCTTCTCTAGGAGCTCCAGAGAGATTTGCCTGGAACCACTTTTTTATGTTGATATTTTCTCTTTGTTCTTGAACTATGTTGTTAGTGTAGATTCAAACCCCAAACCTGGTTGCAGGCAGGCTTATGATTGTGACTTACCAGGGGGACTTTTTGAGACCAAGAAAGGAAAACTCAGTCATTTCCCTGTGCTAGAAGGTAGATGTTTTTGTTTAACTTTTCTGAGGGTAAAGCTCTCAGAGGGCTCCAGCTTTGGGTTCCCAGTTCCAACTTCTGCCTTGAATCAGGTCACACCCTTACCTTCTGTTTCCAGGTAGGCAAACTTTAGGTTAAGGAGACCAGCAAACTCCACCAGGAGAATGTGGCTGTGTCAGCCCCGGGCTCACTACAGGTCTTCAGTTCCATCTTTTTTTGTTATTAATCCTCACCTGAGGATATTTTTCCACTGGTTTTTAGAGTGGAAGGGAACGGGAAAGACACAGAGAGAGAGACATATCGATTGGTTGCCTCCCGCAGGTGCCCCAACCAGGGCTGGGGATTGAGCCTGCAACTGAGGTATGTGCCTTTGGCCATAATCAGACCCGGGACCCTTCAGTCCAAGGGCAGATGCTCTAACCACTGAACCAAACTGGTTAGGGCATCCATCTCCTTTTTTTTTATTATTCCTAGAGATTTCCCTTATTTTCTTGCAAGCTCATCAATGATTTAACAAAATATTTGTTATATACTGAAAGGATTTTCTGATTATCTAAGCCTCCCTCACTGCTGAAAACAAAAATCTAGTGTCCTGTATGTTTGTATATATAAAATAAAACAGAATTAAGAGTCAGGGATGAGGCATGCCATGGGGGAATGGAGGTGGGGCTGGGTGTGATCATAAGAATCTTGTCATGTCATCTATAGTGTGTTTCTTCTTGCAGACCATATACATACACATATATACATCTGTTATATATCTACAATTTCTTTTACATGAAAAATGAAACAAACGTGATCAATTATTATCTGCCATAGTTACATAAGCACTGTTATCCTTATATTTTCCTCTAGTTCGCTAATTTCTCATAAATTAAGAAAAATGAAAGAAAAGAGTTAGAAAGAAGCATCTGGGAACTCCTGACCCACAGGGGTCGGCCTGCAGCTGCCCCCTGAGCCCGGCAGTTCGCCTTTACCTTCTCCTGGTACAGCTTATGGAGCCACTGGGCCGCTTCCTTCTCATCCTGCGGGATCTCTTCCAGAGGGAACCTCCTGTTCATGAAGAAGATCGAGAGCAAAGTGAATACCTAGGGGACAGCAAACTGAAAATGGGGGACACCTGTGCATCGGGGTGACCTGCTGGCCTGCTTTTGCTCATCAACCTCACTCTCACTTTCCAAAAACACACAAACATCCAAGTAACTTCTCCTTGGGCGTCCCCCAGAGGTGGCCTGGGCTCTGCGGGCCTGCAGGGTGCCATGGAGGGGGCCGAGCCGCATTTACGTCCATGGGCTAGTGGGAGGATGTCACAAGGGGTCCCCAGGAGCCATGCAATGAGCAGGTCATGCCCCCAGCTCCTCTGCGAAGGGTGACCCTTTATTAACTTCAGCAGGAGTTTTAGTCTCTCTTATCAGTTCACGCTTTGGAAATAATTATGACTTGGAGTCTTTCATTAGGCAAAGAAGATTGTGTCTTTCACAGATGAAATCTACTTGCTTCAAATATGAAAAACAACAGAGGTTTAGAACTTTCATCTCAATGAACAAACAGCTGACTTCAGTTAGGACACTAACTTATTTATAAACCTAATCACCAGCTGGATCGCCAGCCCGTGAGAGGAGGTGTCCGCCTGGGAAGCTTAGCAGGACCAGAACCACTTTCTTTTTTTTGTTAATCCTCACCAGGGGTCTACTTGCTTCAAATATGAAAAACAACAGAGGTTTAGAACTTTCATCTCAATGAACAAACAGCTGACTTCAGTTAGGACACTAACTTATTTATAAACCTAATCACCAGCTGGATCGCCAGCCCGTGAGAGGAGGTGTCCGCCTGGGAAGCTTAGCAGGACCAGAACCACTTTCTTTTTTTTGTTAATCCTCACCGGGGGATATTTTTCCATTGGTTTTTAGGGAGAGTGGAAGAGAGAGGGAAAACAGAGAGAAACATCAATGTGAGAGAAACATCATTGATTAGTTGCCTCCTGCACACACCCCGACCAGGGGCCCTGACCAGCCTGCAACCGAGGTACATGCCCTTGACCGGAATCGAACCCGACACCCTTCGGTCCACAGGCTGATGTTCTGATCACTGAGCCAAACTGGCTGGGACGAAGAACCACTTTCACAGCAACTGTTGTACTTCACAATCACCAGCACACACCTGAGCTGGAATAACTAACCGGGGACGCAGGTGAGACGCGGTTCATCACAGGGGCCCGGCTGCCCACTCCAGAGGGGCCCACAGTGAAGGGACAGCCAGGCCAAGTGTCCATGGCCAGACATGCATGTCCTGTTTTAAGGTATCTCAAACTTTTTGCTCTAAAATTGAGAACTTTGATGTATGTGGGTTATGCCTGCAACCCAGGTATGTGCCCTTGACTAGGAATCAAACCTGCACCCTTTGCTGTACAGGCCAATGCTCTGACAACGGACCACCCGGCCACTACTGGGTGGTATTGTTTTTAAAAGCTGTGCTGGCTCAAGCTCTCCAGACTGCAATGGCGAGGCCTGTCTGAGCCTTCGGCAATCACAGTGGCCAGGATGGTGGTCGGATGGCAGGCAAGGGCGCTAACACAGAGCCCGTCTACACCAGGGAAGGGCCTGCCTCCGGGGCATGTCTGAATGACACGGGGACTGGCCGTTCAACCAGCCTGAGCTGGAATCGAAGTCACAACACCATTTTATGAACAGAGTAATCCCCAGGCTGTTCTAAGTTTAAAAGATACTTTGGGGATCAATTATCTTCTCTTCATGAGCCAGAGACACTTGGAGAGTCAAAGCGTGACCATGAGACACGCAGTCGCCATCCGGACACCACTCTCCTGGTCAGGGACCCCGATCTTGTGCGACAGGAATGAAGGTCGCTCCCCATGCGAGGCCCTGCCTGCCTCTCAGAACAAAGCCCGGCTCAGCGTGGACACCTGGGCAGCTCACTCTGTCGCGTCTCACTGGCTCCAGGAGCCACTCGGGTGAAACCCAAGATGGACCCTCCTCCCCTGGACTCTTACAGACTCAGATCCCTTAATTCTGGGGCTGAAATCGCCGGTGTCAACAAAGGTCACAGAAATACAGCATCAAGCTCGAGGTGAGGGGGGCCATGTGTTGGGGCTGGGAAGGCACGGGAGGGGGCACCGGGCAGGATGGGGTGCCCGCTGGGCACGGAGCTCACCTCAAACACATATCCGCCTCGTACTTCTTCCCGTAGAGGATCCCCAGCAAAGACGGGTTCTTGTTTCCCCGGAAATTCAGAGTGACATCATAGATGGCTGCGACTGTGGGGGCGGGGTGAAGGGTGAGCCAGGCCGCCGCTCACTCCTCGCCCACGCAGAGCCCAGCGGGCTTTCACTCGGGCCGTTTTTTCTTTGCCGACTCTCAGCTTTTAGTTGGGCATTTAACGATCACATCTCCTGTGCTCACTGACTGTACTCACTGACGTGTGTGCATCTAAATCCACTCTCTGCCCTCTTCTAACTGGTCTCTGCCCCTTTCTTTTATCTTGTCTCTTCTGGGGTTAGATTTTTTTTTTTCCTTTATAAGGTTTTCAGTTATGTACTTTTTGATTATTTTAGTTATTTTTCCATTAACTAGCATTTTATCACCTCAGAAATGACACCAGGATTTTACAATATGTTAACTCCGCTTTCATGGTCCTCCCTTTTCTGTCCTGTAGTTGACATGTAATTCACTCACGGAGTGTTGACTGCTTTCGTCTCTCGCTTTGCGTGGAGCCCGGAGGACCAGGGTCCCTGGCTCTGGGGGCACGGGCTCTTACCTGTCCCGCGCAGGCACTGGACCGCGGTGGTGAAGCCCTTGGTGCGAGGCAGCAGGTGGTGCTTGAGGGGGGGCAGCCCCTTGGAGGCGGCCACCTCCATGCTGACGCGGTGTTTCTTCTCTGTGAAGCGCGTGCCCTCACAGTACAGGAGAAACTAGGGCAGGAACACAGGGACGGGGCTCAGACGACGCCACGCACGGGGAACCTGACTGGCAGCAAAACGCTTGCTGTCCGATTTGTAGAAATGACAACACTACTCCAGGGACAAGCACTTTGAAATGTTCTTTCATTTTAGGGCCACAACCTGCCCTAAAATACTCCCCACACGCCAATTCCCTCACCGGCAGCTAACAGCACTGCGCTTATTCTCAAAGCATGCAACAGGAAGAAGGGAGCGTGCAGGTCCCCGGGCAGCCTTCTGGTGGGAGCGGAACACACATGAGGTAGAAACGCTCCGTAACGAGGCAGCTCTCAGAGGCCAGAAGAAGGCGAGACAGAGAAATGGATCTGAGCCGCCCGACACCACTGACTCCAGGCGGTGTCATCAAACGCATCTCAGGGGCTTGGAAACCCCCCGAGCCCCAGGCCCTGGCTGCTGCTACAGGTTGTGTCCTGTGTCCCGTGCCCTGTGACTCTTCTACGCCCTGAAGGATGAACTCACCCAGACCGGCAAGTCACTAGGGGTCGCTCTGGAACCACCTCCAAAGAAGACCCTCCCTGCAGAGGTGGCTCCTCAGTCTGGGCGCTGGCTGGGCACCCACTCCTCCCAGGGACCCCACTCTGCTGTGCAGGGAGGTGCCCCCCTCCCTCCCGGCTCTGGCTCTCAATGGGGGCAGTGAGAGCAGGTGACCCCCAGACCCTGCTGTGAATCTGCCTGGCCTTTCCACTCATGATGCAGGTCATAGTCATACATGTAAGGTGGCACCAGCCAGTGCAGCCTCCCATGCCAGGGCCCCCGTGGGTACACGGACTCACCCACATGTACTCAGGGTAGTTGGCCAGGCACCTCAGCCCCGCGATGACGGTGTCCCGGTCCTCTTCCCATTTCCTCTTGCAGAACACGATCTCCAGGAAGTACCACGTCCAGCCGATGAGGGGCACGCACAGCAGCTCCCTCTTGGCCAGGACCTTGGAGCTCTGCAGGGAGGAGGGGCAGGTAGTGCGCTCTCGGCTGGAGGCGCCCCGGGTGCCCCAGGATTGGCGTGGTGGTCGTGCCTACCCTGCCCACAGGGGCACCTGACCCTGAGTGTGGGCCACTGGGACCAGCTTGACCCGAGAGCGCAGGTGTGTCTCCTACAGAGGAGGAAACCAAGGCGCAGGCCTGGCAGAGGGAGGGGCCCAGGACGCAGCCACGGGAACTGGCGGCAAGGCCGGGCCTTCCTGAGGAGGGCAGGGACGCCACCCACGGCGCTCACTGCGGTGGGACCCGTGGCCCGGCTCAGGGTGTTCACACTGCATCGGGCACCGGCTCACTGAGGCTCTGGGGACTCACGGGGTAGTAAGCAAGGCTCAGGAGAGGAAAGGCGGGACAGCCAACCTCAGGAGAGCCTGGGCAGCCTGCCATCGAGGCACCTTAGGCCAGCCATGCGCCCGACCCCCAGCTCAGGGGGCCAGGAGCTAAAACAGGAAGAGAGGAAGCCCAGGCCCCAGAGAGCCAGGCCAGCACCTCCCTGGGCCCCCCACATCACTCACCCCCAGGACCCCGAACCGCTCACACATGGTCCACCCGCACAGGAAGTCGATCTCGAAGTTGTGGTTGAGGATGATGATGGCGTGCTCCTTCCCTAAGCGGTCTATGGTGGCCTGGTCGGAGAAGAGCGTGCACTGCGTGCAGGACCACCACTCCAGCAGCATGACCAGCTCTGCGGGCACACGGGGAGGGCAGGGCGTTGGCACGCGCAGCCGCACCCGGCCGGCCTCCCTCGGGGCAGCAGCACAGGCCAGGCCCAGCTCTGCCGCGGGCGGGGCTTTCCCAGTATTTCATCAGACCGGGCTTTTGGGCTAGAAATGGGTTTGGGTGGTTTATATTTAACAAAATAAGTTTTCCTAACTTATAATTACCTTCTCCAAGCAAACATTGGGGAGAAGACAAATGAAACTTCCAGAAAGCAGCAGAAAAATAATTAGGAAAACTCGCATCATAGATGGTTACCTGATGTCCAGTCAAGATTTCCACCTGTGCTGGGGGTTTATGGAATATCGCACATTTCATCCACAGAATGGGGGGAGGGTGGGTGTGGCACAGCCAGCCGGGCCCTGTGGTCGGCAGCGTGGCTGAGCGGGCGGCCAGGTGTCCTGAGCAGGGCGACCTCATGGTGAGGCTCCAGGCACAGGGCTGAGGCGGGGTCACACAGCACAGCCCCGTTCCTTTTGTGCTGAACCAGCCCCTCTGTTTTCCGAGGGCACCAACCCTTGGGGTGGAGGCCAGGGAATGCTTCCAAGACAGCCCAGTGCTAGAGCCTGGGCTCTGAGCCTCAGTTTCCCCATTTACAGAAAGGAGGCAAGAGTGGCTTCCTCACGGGCCACTGGGAGAAGAGCACGTGGCATTAACTCCATTTAACAGCTGTTAGTCTGTCCATCTGACAGCCCGAGGTTGATTGATTCCGGGTAGCAGACATGCACGTCTACACACAGGTACTTGATTCGAGAGGTGACACAGACAAGTGGGGTGACAGGCCCCCTGAGAGGGGGTGCTTCCCCACCCTGGGGAGGGTGCCAGGGGATCAGTGAGACGGACTGGCCGTGTCCTGGCAGCTGCTAGGGCTGCTAATGGTGGATGAGTTTCTGACTGTTTCCAAGTCCCAAAGCACTGGGCTAACCCTCCCCAAGCTGCCACCGCTGCGGGTCCAGGCCGGGTGTCGCCACGCCACTTGCTCGCCCTAATGATGAGTGTGGGTTGAGCATCTCTGCACACGCTCCCTGTGAGGAGTAACCCATCGCCCTCCTGAGCACCCCCATCACAGCAGCACGCCCAGCGGTGCACGGTGGTACTCACGGCTCCAGAGCGAGTAGGCGAGGCGGCAGTTCAGCCGGCGGTACAGCTGCTTGTTCAGGGGCCAGAGGACGAGGGTGCAGAGCTGGATGAAGTTGATGACCAGCCCGCTCACCACAAAGACGAACCCGATGAGGAGGTGCAGGACGAACTGGGTCTTCAGGTAGGCGAGCAGGCCCATGGTCACTCCTCAGTAGCGAGAGCAAGGTCCTTCACTGAGAACGGCCGTCCTGGAGGGACAGGGACAGCAGTCAGGACGCGTGCCAGGGCCCAGAGGCCAGAGCTGCAGGCGGAAGGGAAGCCCACCGTCCCTACCTCAGAGCCCAGATCTGCAGCCCGAGGGTGAGGGGCTCACCAATGGCAGACTCAGGAGTTTCTGCAGGTCGGCAAACAGGGACCTGGCACACGTCATTTAGCCATGTGTCACACATACACCGCACCTCACACACATATACACCACACACCACACCACACCACATCACACCACGCACACATATACACACCACACACACATATACACACCACACACCACACCACACCACGCCCACGCCACGCACACATATACACCACACACCACACCACACCACACCTCACACACATATACACACCACACACCACACCACACCACATCACACCACGCACACATACACACCACACCACATACACACACCCAGGCATATAAGAAAGGAAGAAGACTAGAAGAAATGCACCCAAATATTAATAGTGATGATCTCTAGGTAAAGGCATTATGGGTAATTTCAACTTTTTTTTTAGCATCTTATTTAAAAAATTTAAATTGCACATGAAATAAAACACATTAACTGCCTTTTAATTCCCAGGCTGTTGTGCACTTTTTTAAGCTAAGAGGCTTTTGTTTTGGTTTCTAACACAAAAGCGGCAACTCCTCCAAGAACTTAACTGGTTTTTCTCCCCTTCTCTTCAATGTGCACCTCTTAGTTCCTAAGGTGAAGCCAGAGCTCACATTTTGGGGTTGTGCCTGCTCTGGGCGCTGCCCGACAATTCCCCTTGTGAGGAGAGAAACAGGGAAGCTGTGATTCAGCTCCTGGCGAGTCCCAAGCTGGCACGTGATGGTGCTGTGTGCACCCTGCTGAGCGCCCTGCAGACCTGCCCCTGCCGCACTTGGTGAGCTGAGCGCACCAGGGACCAGCCGCCCCACCCCCTGGTATCCCTATGCCTGGAGAACAACTGACTGCCAGAAATGGTGCCATGGGGTTTCCCAGGCCGAGTCATAGAAGGGTCCTTGCCTGGCTGGCTCAGGGGAAGCAGCTGCCAGGGGAGGGCACTGGAGCAGGGGGTGCTGGATGTGGAGGGAGCCAAGACCTGTGCCAGGAGAGAGGCCACATGGACGCTGACCCTCCAGGCCCAGACAAGCCTTCAGATGCCTGCAACCTGTGAGCACCCGCCCCGCCCAGCCAGGCTGCCTGCAGCGGTGACCCTGAGCAACCGAGGGCGAGGAAGGCCTCACATTGTCTTACACCACTGTGCCGGGGACACTTGTTACACAGCATCAGAAAACAATTCATTGCTCTAACGATTACAGTAACTAACGCACTCGGCCAACACCCACTTCCACCAACAGCAGAAGAGACTCCACAGATCAGATGACTATAACGTCATAATTTCAATATTGCAGGTTCTTGGGCTCTCACCTCCCTGTTACATCTGAGGAAACTGAGGACCAGAGGGGCCCGAGAGGCATTAGGGCCTGCGGCTCAGGACGGGTGAGGACACGGCGAGCCCTTGGCCACAAGCTGCTCCTGATTTCTGGTTCTGATGCGTGAAGACAGGGTTCCCTTGAGAAAAGGCCTGGACCCCAGCTCTTCTCCTCCCCATCACCGTGATTCTAGAGGACCGCCTGGGAAGCCCTGCCCCACGGGGAAGCCCCTGCTGCTGCTTTACCTGAGAGAAGAGCCAGGCCAGGCCCTGGGAGCGAGACAGCCGGCCCACCCCGTCCACATGGCCTTCTCATTAATGCTCAGACGCTGTCCTCTGAGACGGCGAGGAAACCTGAGCCGTTTCTAAGTCCCGTCAGCAGATAACAGGTTTAGATTGTTCCAGGAGCCTGGCACCTGCACAACCTGGGCCCCGGCTGAGGTGGCTGCCTCCTGGGTTCTGTGGCCCCTGTACAAGCCGCTAGGACCCCACCTTCTCAGCTGCATGATCACCCTCCCCAAAGGGACATACAGGGTGGTGTCACCACCCCCTACACGCCCCCACCCCCTGGGGACAGGCTGCTGGCCACTCAGAGAGGGGGAGTGAGCCAGGTGGCTCAGCAAGGCCGAGCTAAAAATAGTTCCACAGCAGGTAAGCCTCACAAGGCCCCGAGGCATGGCTCCAGGAAGCCAGCGAGAGTTCCAGTCCGCAGGAAGGACTGGGCACCAGACCCAGACCTCCCAGCTGCAGCGCCCCTGAGCACCCAGTGCTCCTTCTCAAGGCCGGTGGTGAAGGGGAGAGCTGGGAGCCAGGAGCCCTGGCCATTCTCAGACCTGACCCTGGCACCTCGTTATGGGTGAACTGTGTCCCGCAAAAAGAAACATTGGTGCTCTACCTCCAGCACCTCAGAATGTGGCGGTAGGTGGAAATATGGTCTTTACAAAGATAACCAAGTTAAATGAGGTCACTGGTGTGGGCCCTAATCCCACTGGACAGATGTCTTTCTAAGAGGAGATGAGGACAGACGCACAGAGGGACGATCATGTGAGGACACGGGGAGAGGTCTGTAAGCCGAGGAGGGAGGCCTCGGGAGGAACCAGACCTGTGATGACCATGATCTCAGCCTCCAGCCTCCGGTCTCCAGACTGTGAGCAATAATTTCTGTTGCTTCTGTCCCCTGCCTGTGGTACTGTTGCAGCGGCCCCAGCAAAGGAATACACTTCTTTTAAGTATTCAGGCCTTTTCCTAGAAGTGCACAGGCCCCTCCCATGTACTGCTGTAAACTTGGCCCTGCTGCTCAGGTGGCCCAGAGCCTGGCAGTGAACCCTGACCAGGCCTTGCCCTGCTCAAGGGTGAGCCCATCCCCTGCCCAGGAGTCTATCACCAGACGCCCACGGGACCCTCTTCCCAGCCCTGGCCCCTTTGTCCCTCTCAACCCCAAGAACTAGCTAGTCAGACGGTCTGACCTTCAGATATCCTCCTGAGGATCTTTGTGGAAAGCACGTCTTTTCCACAGAAATGGAGATGGAAGTCACGTGCCCACCACCTCCGCACTAGCCAGAGTGTGGCCAGGCGTCCATGGCTTCGCTCTCTGCAGAGAAGGTAATGGCTTTCTCCGCATGTGGAGGACGGCTCTTTCATTTACACATGAGGTCAATGTCAGTCCTTCCATCTGGGTGCCGTTCATGCCTCTGCCGACGGCGCCGCCTCAATCTTACAGCGGGAGAGCGGAGAGGACCTGACGCTGTACCATCCCTACAACATCCAGGCTGCCTCACAGCCACGCGGCTCACCCTGTGCTGGAGCAGGAGCCGGCCCGTGCTGGGGCTGCCTCGTCAGGTGACCTGAGGCCCTGGTTCCTGAACTCCAGGAAGACAACCTCTTGGGGACCAATTCCCCTTCCGAGCCGTGCGCACAGCACCTCACCTTGTCCTGTCTGTGTGGTCCTTCCAACAGTCAGTCTAACCTTGAGGAGGCGGTGGTTGGTGAAGGGAGAGGACGCTGAAATATTAGTCTCCATCACTCTCGCTTTAAACACAGCTTGGACGAGCGTGACTAGGTGGTCTCCTGGCCCACAGCCAATGGGAAGCACCAGGTTACACAATGGGGCAGGGGGGTGCTGGAGGCAGATATCCTGCTGACAGCAGCACAAAGGGGCAGAGACAAGCTGGTGACTCCATCAGCACCACCTCCGAGGGTGTCCAGTGTTGGGGAGCAGGTTTGCAGACCCAGCGGCACCTCAATGACATCATGAATGAGAACATAATACAACAATTGTGGTCCACCCTGACCTCACTAAAATGCTGAGAAAGGGCTGTACCACACTCACCGTGTTATTTAAGAAGGCTGGGAGCAGGGAAGGTATTATTTACAACTCCGACTAAAGTTTTAGAATAGATGAATCCTATTTTTGAGGTTTAAAGGGTCTAGCTTTAGTTCTTGGGTAAACTCATCACGGAGACCATCTTATCTTTCAAAAAGGCTGAAAAAGATGACATATTTCTTTGCTAATAATAATCTGTTGCCAGTCCAGCCTCATCAACATTTGGAATCACCAAGAAGTCTAAACATCAGGAAGGAGAAGTAACAACATCATTATGTGCGGAGAGCAGGTTTGGATCCTTAGACCCAAGAGAGCCCACAGCAACCGAAATGCTACTTTAAACAATAAGTAACGACAGTAATACTGAAAGGAATAAAATACAATATGCAGAACCCTGGCCGGATAGCTCAGTTGGTTAGAGCGTCATCCTGATACACCAAGGTTGTGGGTTCAACCCCCAGTCAGGGCACAGACAAGAATCAACCAATGAATACATGCATAAATAAGTAGAACAACAAATCGATGTCTCTCTCTCTCCTCCCCCTTCCTCTCTCTCTAAAATCAATAAATCAATACAAACATGTGGAAATCAACATTCTCATAATGTTCAATAACCAGTTCTAACTGAAGTAACTAGAAGGGACGACAATAGAGCTTATTTCTTTTCGACTTGACAGGTCCAGGTCACTGGACCTAGATGGTCATTTGGGACAACGGAGCAGCCTAGGAAGCCACGCGCTGAAGATGGGAGCTTCAGGCAGCCGGAAGCTCTGCCACACGGGGTCACGGGGGGCGCAGGCTGCCGGGACTCCTCCGTCTTCAGTGCACGGCTTCCTGGGGGCTCTGTTGTCCCTCTCCAGGAGGCAGAAAGGGGGAACACTGGAAGTCGGGACTAGGGATTTCCTCTCATGCAAGTGAAACGCAAGCTCAGAGTTTGAGCACTTAGTTGCCAGGAGAATGAGGACATGTGGCCCTGTCATGTGTGTAGGCAGCCACAGGTCCACACAAACACACACACACACAGAAGGCACGGTGGAGGAGACAGTGTGTACATTTGCAATAAAAAAGACAAACTACCTACTCCCAAACTTCAGAAGAATTAAACAAAGCCTATGCGATGAAACCTTACAACATCTTGCAAGATACAAAAGCAGAACTAAGCAAATCAAAACATACTGGGCAACAGGTGGCAACAACTAACTGCCTGCCCGGCTCTCACTGGTGCCTTTGGCAGGCCTGGGTCACGGCAGCCCCCGGGCCCTGGCTGGCTTCAGGGCTCATGAAGGGGATGTGGTGGGAGTAACGTCCTGGACTCCAGAGCTTGGCCCTTCAGAGGCCTCGCAGCTTCCCCGGCACCCCTGGGCCATGGAGGGAGGAAGCTGGGGCTAGTCTGCCGCAATGGGACCACATGGAGCAGAAATGGACCCACAGCCCCAGGCTGGCTGCCAGCGCATTACAACCACATGAAGGACTGCAAGTGAGACCAGCAAAAGAACCAGCCTGCTGAGCCCAGGGCGGTGAGCCAATAAAACAATGGTTGCTTTAAGTTGCTACATATTGAGGTGGTTTGTTAGACAGTAATATGTAAATGACACACAAACCATACTTTCTAAGTTAGTTTGTAAATGTAATTGAACCATAATTTAAAAACCAATAGTCTCCCACCCTCTACCCCCAGAACTAGACATATAGGTCCTACAGTTCATATGGAAAAACAAACAGGAAAGACCAGCCAAGGAAACCCTGAAAAAGAACCAAGGAATAGCCCTACAAAAGGCCACCACATACCACGAAGCCTCAAAAATCAAGAGTGTGGTCCTGGCCTAGGCACGGACATGAGAACTGGTGAGAGGAGAGGCCGTGAGGAGTCCCTGGGCACCTGCACACGTATGGCCCTCCGTGTGGTGGGAGGCTGTGCGTGGGCTAAGGAACAACACACACACCCCCGTATATGTATTCACGTTTATTTATTTCAACTTGGGCAAACTGGTATTTCTATTGTATTTAGAGACTATTATAATAAATAGAATACAAAATTAACTTAAAAGCATTACTGGACTAAGTGAATCTTTTAGCATTAGACATTTGCTCCACCAGTGAGTAATGAAGGTACAACTAAATGACACACCAGCCTGGCCGGTGTGGCCCAATGGTTGAGCTTTGACCCATGAACCAAGAGGTCATCAGTTTGAATCCCAGTCAGGGCACCTGCCTATGCTGTGGGCTCAATCCCCAGTAGGGGACGTGCAAGAGGCAGCCAATCAATGTCTCTCACATCGATGTTTCTCTCTCTCCCTCTCTTCCTCTCTCTAAAATCCGTGCTTAAATCTTTTTAAGCACTCGCCGGTTTGGTTCAATGGATAGAGTGCTGGCATGCAGACTGGGTCCCAGGTTCGATTCCAGTCAAGGACATATGCCTGGGTTACAGGATCAATCCCCAGTAGGGGGCATGCAGGAGGCAGCTAATCAATGATTCTCTTTTATCATTGATGTTTCTATCTCTCTCCCTCTCCCTTCCTCTCTGAAATCAACAAAAATATATTTTTTTAAAATACTTTTTAAAAAAACTGCAGAACCCTGGTAGGAGGGTGCAAGCCTGCTCCAATCTGTGGACAGCGGGGATGTGGGGGCCCTGGGGACACAGAAGCCACGGTGCCACCAGGTGAGGAGGCAGCTGGTGAAGCACCTCCAGGGACCCCTCACACCCTACCTACCCCAACTCTCCGAGTTCCAGAATCTTTTGCCTTTTCAAGGCTGTTCTGATGGGTGTACTGGCTTGAGTAGTGGCGCTGTTTGCGGTGGGAAGGGGAGGAGGCAGCGGGGAGGGATGTGAAAAGCTCCGGGACCTGATGACTGCACAATAGACCTGTGACAGGTCTCTGGCCTGCAGGACACTGCGGGCGCTGCTCACCCCGAGGGCCTGGTGGGGCCACAGCACAGGAGGGCTCTCCTACGGGCAGGTGTGGGGACCGAGTTCCAGAACACACACCATGCACACACATGCACACACACATGCACTCACACGCGCGCGCACACACAACAGTGACAGCTAAGTTGACTTAGACCTAATTTTGTGACAATGAACCGCCTGCTATAATAACAACGTTTTACTCGCCAAGAAATGGATGGAGGTTTGCTCTGTGATTATCAACCAGCTGGTGGCTGACATACTTTGCTGCATGTACAATGTATTTCACAAATTCACAAATTACATGGGAGTCCTGGCTTCCTCTTGGGAATGCAGAGAGCCTGTCGCTCCCGCCCTTACAACAAGAATAGAGCCAAGCAAACTGCAAGTTCATGACTTTCCTTAGCCCCATCGGAGACCCGAGGTCACAAGCAGCCAGCTAACAAGAAATTGGGGGCAAGAAGGAGGCCTGCAGAGAGCGGGACTGGGCCCTCGGGTTCCTGGGCAGATCCGGGTGCTGCTAAGAGGATTTCGGCTGGAACAGCAGAGACCAGGTGAGTCTGCACGGCTGGGAGAGGGAGTGTGAAGTCGCAGAGCTGTGGGGGGGAGGGGCCCCTCACCCTCCTGCCAGCTTTTTTTTCCACACACACAGTGAGAGTCCTGGGAAAGCTCCCCCTGCACAAACTCTAGAACTTGTCGGTGAACAGGGTGGATTTAATCATGAGAAACAAGCCTTAATGGATGGCCAAGGTGTTGACAAAGATTAAAAAGTGTCACATTTGTCATTAAAGAGGCATTATGAGTCACACACTTAATAGATAGATTTTTTTTTTTAAAGGTAGGGATTCAAAATGGAACAAACAAACTGGGTTTCAAATACCCACCCTTGGCCTCTGCTCACGGCCGTGGGAGAGCCCCCACACGTCCCTCCAGTCCCACCGCAGCCCTGACCCAGGTGCGGTTGGAAAAGGTCCATCTGACCCCGAGTCATGAAAGGAGGGTCACCTGTCACTCAGCACCTGTCTCTTATCTGAGCTTCCTTCTGAATGTAAACTTGGAACATCTCAGATACACGCGTTTTAACGTAAAGGATAGTCTCCAAAAGCATTACTCGGATCCAGGAAATGTAATATCCAATAGAGAGTGGAATAAAGATCGCCATCAGTGAACGCAGTGTACCCACCAGGTTTGCCGGCGATTAGCAAATATGTGCGATGCCATCTGCCCAGCAACTGGCACATGGCATGACCCTGGGACCCAGGAGCAAGGTCCTGTCCCCTTCCTCACTTGCTATCGGTCGATACCCTCCTCTGACTGGAACGTAGAAAGGTCTGGGCTGAGGTGCTGGACATGGGCAGTTCAAGGTCATGGCGTACACCTCACCCAACCCACCCCCAGGGCCGGTCCTGCTCTGTCCTGTGGGCTGCTCTGTCCCCACTGTGTCATTGGGGTTGTGATTTCAAGGACACACAACAACCTATCACGTATACTCTGAACTGTGGTCGTGAGGATGAGACAGAGGCAACGAGGAGCCCCATCCTCCTGGGGCACCGGGGAGGGGTCTGGACGGTGAGGACATGCTGGCCTGCGGGGAAGCAGCCGCCGAGGCCAGACGTGACCTCTGCTCCCCTGCCGGCTGGGTCCCAGGATGGCAGCTAGGGTACGATCGAGTCCGGGGAGATGGGGCCGCCTCGCCTCTGCCTCGGGAGGGCGCTGCTCAGTTCATCCCTAACAAGGCTGCTCTGGTCCAGGGCACAGGCGCCCGTGCCCAGCTGACTGCGTGGCGACCTCGGGACATTGGAAGAGAAGAAATCAGAGGTGCCCTGGCCCCTGAGAGAACCTTCTTCCTGTGACCCCTCCGGGGAACCTGCTTAGGGAGACAGCTCCTTCCCACAGGCATCTGTGCCCACGACTTCCTTCCCAAAAGTCAGAGAAAACCCACAGTAGCCAGGCTGGCCGCGGCCCTGCCCCTCCCCCACACCATGACCCTGCAGGGCGGCCAAAGGGACAGCCTAGACCACAATCCCTTACCTCTGTCCCTCCCAGGACTCAGCCAGCAGGACGCAGGGACAGCCCAGGCCCACTCAGCATGGACCTCCAGAGCGTAAAACCATCTGTGGGCCGCAGAGCTGCGAGGGGCCTCCCGTGCCTGCATTTCTGAGCAGGGCTCTGGGCATCTGTCACGGGAGCCAACGGGGCACAGCGTGCTGCCAAGTAGGTGAAATGTTAGGGCCTAGGGCATCGCTGTGTTGCAAGCTTACTTTCAGACTTGGCGCTGAGGTCAACAGAAGAATGGGGTGAGAGTGGAAGGCCGACAGCTTGGGGAGGCAGGAAACATCAAGGTCAAGCTCCGCGGGGGTCCCTGCTCTGAGCAGCCTGGCCAGCCCCTCCAGGCCCGGGCCCAGCTGTTAACGCCGCCCGTTCACAGGGGGCGAGAAAGTGGTCACACAACGTGATCGCAGCACAGAAACCGTTGCCTGTTGCCCTCCATGCTTGGTCTTAAACAGAACTGCTTTCCGGCCTCGCCTTTACTAATGGTGGTGAATGAGCTGCTGCTGCTCCCCAACACCAGCACCCTCTAACCGGCAGGACCACGGCTCGGCCCGTTTCACTCTCCACACGCTCCTCTGCGAGCCACCTCGACCCATGCTGGTGGGGGCTCCCAGAGAAGGATGTAAAGTCCAGGCTCGGGGGGGGGCTGGGCTGGCTCAGGGACAGGAGGCTGCCCCAGAGGACTTTAAACTCCAGGAGGACACGAGGGCCGAGCCCTGCAGGCATGGCCCCAGGACGGGGGAGGTCCCTAGCCATCAGCTGGGCATCCACCCTCCTGGCCTGGACTTTCTCCTCATTCTGAGCCATTGAGAGCAGTTCCCCAGGATTGATTCTATTTCCTGTCTCCTCCCTGGAAAGTGAGCACAGGGAACTGTTGGTCTAGAACCCAGTACTTGGAGAGAGTCGCACTGGAACCCACAGCCACCCCAGGGAAGGAGGGGGGTGTCCCCAGGAAGAACTGCAAAGTGTGACCCAGCCCTTCAGAGACAACTTTCACAGCCTCCCTGTCCTGTCAGCCTCCCTGTCCTGTCACCCAGGACAGCGCCTGGCACTTTGAGAAATTGGGGTGAATGAACAGTGAACAATTCAGTCCATCAATATCCATTAAACACCAGCAAACTCACAAGGTGAGACCCCCGTGGCCTCCACAGTGACCACGCACGACAGCTGGCTTGGCCGAGGACACCTGGCACCCCCTCACCACAGCGTTCCTTCCTGTTTCCGTGAAGGAACTGACCGAGGGCACCTGGAGGCACGTGTCCAGGTCGCTTTGTAACAGCCATGGTGCTGCCCAGCACAGACGCTGCTCACCGAGGGCCAAGCAACAGCCTGAGCCTCTGCACCTCTGTCCCCAAAACCACCCACCACAGGGCCCTCCAGGTCAAACAGGGTTACAGAGACTGCAGAGCCCATGGGTTCTGGAAGTGTCTGGGTTGTGCTGGGAGCTCAGTGGAGTGGCACCTGGCATATGCCTTTGTAACCCAAGACATCTCATGAGTCCTCAAATTCCGTAACTTCCTTCCCTAAGATCTAGATCCACAACAAAAGGACGAATTCACTTTTGCCACCAGCTGAGAAAGAGCAAGTGAAATGACAGCCCTTGGAGATGACGCATGGCCATTGGGCACAACGCGCTCCAGCCAACCCCAAAGGCCATGCCCTTCAGCCCCGAGTTCAGTGGTAAGGAACCGATCCTATGGGGACCAAGTAAGGAACCGATCCTACGGGGACCAAGTTAGGAACCGATCCTATGGGGACCAGGAGACAAGTGGGAAGGTGAATGCTGGACAGGCGGCTCGTGATGGATGATACCAAACACTGGAGACACAGGGGCAACCTTGGTGAGCCGGCGCACCACCTCCAGGTGCATTTGTCCCTCAGGACCTGGCTGCATGGAAGTCTCGGTGACGTGAACACTGCTTACACGGCTGGCGGACAGAGGTACACGCCGTGACAAACACACACCTGAGAGAGACTGAACCTAACCGCCCTGGGGAAATCTCTGGTAATGAAATAATGTGGACTTTTAAAAAAATGCTTTTCTGATTTTCACTTAAGTTTTTGGCATGGAACAATGATAACTTTTATAATCATAAAAATGTTACTAAAATCAAAACAGTATCCTTGAAGTGAAAAGCTCTGAGGAGTCATGTACAGCAGCGAAGATGAGAAGGCCCTAGCACCAACACCCGGGCGTTCGCCGTGCCTGAGCCCAGGCTGAGGGCTGCCCACAGGCCCACAGCTGACAGCGGGGCCTGTCCTATGCCAGCGACCCTGGCGTGTGCTTCATGTAGGACGGCAGCTGATGCCAACTGCTGTCACTCTATAGGTTTCTCTTCTGATAAAATGGCTCTTTCTACTAGGCAAGCATTCTGCCACCAAGCCACGGGACAAGTTCGTGGAACTGGGACTCCTCTTGGGAAAGCGTTCAAGGCCTGCCTGCAGGGGTGGCGGGGTGGTGGGAGGAGGCAGGAGCGGGACATTTAAAGGCACCGGAACACTACCAAGAGGTGGGTTATCTGTTGCACTAAGTTTAGGGATTTCTAAGATTAAATGAAACTAAAAACGCAAAACTCGCTGGCACCAGAAGTGTCTTCAATGAAATGGTCAACAAAGGCACCTCCAGAGCCCATCAATGCTTGGGAGACCGGCACACAAGCTCTACATCAAAGACACAAGGCAGCTTGTCTCTAAAAAATGCCACCGACTTAGGAATAGTTTTGCAACATTAAAAATTTTAATCGCTTTTAATTTTTAATTCCTTCTAATTGGCATAGAAACCCCGAGTTCTCCCTCTTACATCTGGCACTGCTGTTGGAAAGTTGTAACCAAGGAGGACTGCTTGTGGCCACCTCGCACGAAGTGCCCTGCACTCCGCCCCGTGGGAAACGCACCCGAAATGATGTGTCTCTCTAGCTGGGCCTTCCTCCTTCCCACATAACTGCCTCCTCCCTTTGCCTGGTTTTTCTAAACTGTGGCGTATACACCAATAACCAGCCTACTGACTGGGCCAAGATAACAATAATGCGTTCCCACTCGGTGTCCTCTGCACCTCGCCACCTCTTGGCAGCGGACGGGGCAGCCACGGGGGTGTGACCGGGCTCTGGGGTCATGCCAGGCAGCATGTGGTGGGCAGGTTACGCGAACCTTGCTGTTACTCCACGATGTAAAGAATCGCACTTTGATGTGATAGCCCAGGGTGCATTTCGTAACGCGTTCTGTGACAGTGCCACATCTGGAAGCAGTGGCTGGCGATGTTGCTGAATAAAAAGGAAAGTGACCTGCAAGCGATGCTGGATGTGTAGCTGGTATTTGAACCCACATTTTCTTGCACGTCTTACACCAGATCTGAAGCAAGGCCCACTGAGAACAGCAGGGCTCTGTCCCTGGCCAGCGTGCCCTGAGGTGGCGGCTGCAGAGACCTGCAGGTGGTGGTCAGAGGCTCCGTTGGCCCCTTGCCGCTGGGTCAGGCTTCCCCTGGGAGCGCCTCTCTCCACCCCAGCCCCGTGCTGTGGCAGGTTCATTCGAGGCACAAGGAGGACCTGCCCAGAGTCCTTGCCGCAGAGACGCAGACAGGACCAGCCGCGGGGTGCGGTGCTGTCAGCAGTGGCAGAGGCACCGCTGCGACATTGGGAACCCCCGGGAAGCTGCCTCCCGAGGACTCTCATTGACCCCATTGGTGGGAACTCCCCGTGGAGTCCACGAGCCTTTCCGTGAAGTGCTTTTGAGCTGACAAAGTGCTGGCAGCCCCTTCAACAGAGGAACTCTTCCTGGCGCCTCCAACGCAGAACTGAGCTGAGCGGGTTGCTGGTCACAGCCGGGGAGGAGAAGAGGGGGCAGGGTGAGCCCACCCTGTGGTTCGCCACAGCAGCTCTGGTCTCATCCCGTCAACGGGGAGCGTGGCAGCTGAAAAGGCATCTCGTGAGTCAGTCCTAACTGGGGAGGGGACAGCTCGGCAACCTCAGGGAACCAAGACCTGGCATTTTCTCCCAGTTCCCAGCACGGGAGTGAGGACTGAGGACGGGGACTCAGCGGCGGGGGGGGGGGGGGTGCCTGAGTCCTCCGCCAGATCACAACGAGCTTCTAGCATGTTCTTCCAACCGGGTCTCTTCCCGTTTGTGGAACAAGGACTATTTAGTGGCAGGACAAGCGCTGCAAGAGGAAACATCCACAGACAGGCGAGAATACCAGCATGCTCCCCCCACCCCCCCACCCCCTCGAGGTGGGCGGCCCGCTGCGCGGTGATGCAGACCCGCCCCTTTTGGAGTCCAGCTGACTGACCAGTGCCACCAGGCCCCTGAGAGGCAAATAAATGACTAGAGTGTTCAGGAGGAAGGGGGCTCTGAGGCAGGAAAGGGCTGCCGAAGCCTGGGGTACACCTGGGGACCACAGAGGCCGGGAGCCAGCGGGGAGCCCTGCCCTGGCTGAGGCCTTGCCGCCTGCAGCACCCCTGCATCGCCAGACACAAAAGAAGCATTAATCGGATCTACAGAAGAGAAAGCCTCCAGCTCAGAGGGTAGAACTCCCACCCAACCAAGGGCAGGGAAGGAACAAGAATACGCCAGGCAGAACCTCCGGGAAGCCTGCCTCTTTGCAGGAAACTGCCCGTTCTCCAGCACTAGCCAATCAAGTGACCCCAGACCTGGGCTGGGGTTTCCCCATGGCCACCCCAACAACAGCCCATCAGGAGGGAGCCGGCCCTGTGTGCCATCGGTACCTGCCCGTGTGCAAAGGTTGTCACCTGCAGAGATACGGTCAACATCCCATTTTACAGACAGAACTGGGGCCCAGAGCACACATGTCCCGTTGGCTGTCACAGCCTCGTGAGGGGACGGAGGAGCTGAGCCTCCGGACCCCCAGGCCAGGTGGCCCACGGCACCCCGCAGATTCCCCGCACATGTTCACAGCAAGCGTTGGGTGCGCTCTGGCCACCACTGCTTAAAGGGTCACTGGTGACTCCCCATAAACCACCTTATCACCTATGGGCACAACAGGGTAACATCCCTTTGATGGAAGCTACCATTTTCTGTTCAACTGACAGACGCCGTGTCGGTCAGCTGCCCCCGCTCTGGGCTGAGAGGTGGGAGTGATGGCAAGGGCTCGGGGCAGGGTCTTCCCTCCCAGTC